CCTCTCTCTCTCTCTCTCTCTCTCTCTCTCTCTCTCAAATAAATAAAAAATTTAAAAAAAAATATGTAGTGGTAGAAGAATGCAATCTCAGATGTTGAGCTTCTCAATCTAGTGCGCTTTTTTTTTTTTTTTTTTTTTTTTTAACATATTTAGTACAGGGTCTCACTACATAGATTGGATGTGTAGTGATCCTCCTGTTTATAGCCTCCCAAGCTTTGAGATTACAGGCATGCGTCACACGCCCAGTCTCAATTTCTGTCTGAGTGTGCCCTTGGGGTGGGGCCTGCATTGCAGACCTGGGGATCGGACCCCCTGCTTCCCCCCGACCCCCACCACCACCCCTGCATCTCCTTTAATCTGTTGAGCTGTCTGGCTGGCCCTCAGTCTAATGTTCTTATAGCTCCCAAGTTGAGAGCATAAACTTTATTTAAAATCATTTATTTATTTATTTGCTACAGGGTCTTGCTGTGCAGCTTAGACTTAGTGATCCTCCTGTTTCAGCCTCCCCAGTGCTGGGATTATAGGTGTTTGCCACCACATCTGGTTTTGATGACTGGCTTGGTGCCCAGGGCTGGCATGGCATGTGGTACCAGGGATTGAACCTGGGTCTTTGCATGTGCCAGGCAGGCACTTAGACCATCGAGATATCTCCCCAGCCTATTTATTTTAATAATAAATTCTTACAGGATAATGGAACAGAAGCCAAAGATATTTATATTTATATTGTTCATCTGATAGCATTATAGAAGCTTAATTTTAATTATTTTCTATAAGCTTTATTACAAATAAGAGGAACAAAGATAATCAAATGAATGTAAGGAAACAAGCATTTCTATATTATACCATGACATAGATGTGGAAAGAAAACAAGCTTTGTTTGTGTTCACACAACCTGAGTTCCTGAACAGATTGCTACTTATCATTTATGTGACATCGAGAATGTCTGTAACTCCTCTGAACTCATTTTTGTAAGGTTGAACTGAGGGAATGCGCCCTTTCTAGCAGACATCAGGCATACAGTACATAGAAGTTATTATAATTCATATATAAGTGTAGGTAGAAAGTTTTAAGATGCCACCCCTCCATACGTACTTTATCTCAGTTTTGCAAGTGTGGCTGAGTGTATGTGCATACGTACATACTAAGGGACAGTACTGAGGGATAAAAATACTTAAGAATATAAATTAGAACTGTGGGTTTTTTGTATTGTACCACTTCTTATCTCTTGGCCTGCCTTGATTTCTAAATGTTTTCCTTCCCCCAATTGTAGGTCCTATGGCAGTGTATACAAAGCTATTCATAAGGAGACTGGGCAGATCGTTGCTATTAAACAAGTTCCCGTGGAATCAGATCTGCAGGAAATAATCAAAGAAATTTCTATAATGCAGCAGTGTGACAGGTAAAAGGCACATGTGGTTCTTCTGTAGAGGTCATGGGTTTGGGTTTGGTGTGCTTATTTTACCCTTTGATGTAGAGAGATTTATTTACTTACTTTACAGAAAGGAGAGGTTAATGGAATTATAATATGTGTGCTTTTCAGAAACAAGTGATGAAAAGTTTTATGTTTTTGTAGCTAACCTGATAGTTTCTATATCATGTTTTCCTTCTTTACTAAGTCCTTTTAGAAAGTAGGAAGAGGCAGAAGGTGGTGCTAGCTTTTTTTTTTTTTTTTTTTTCTGTTTCTGATAATGATCTCTCTTCCTAAGGAGAGAACATTTCTGTAGAGACAGCTTAGCTCAGATAATTCAAGTGCTTTTGTTTTAGCTCTAGAAATTTTAGAATATTAGATTGGTCTGTAAAAAGAGTACTTAATTTATATATTACTGTTCCTTCATATAAGTCATTTGAGCTGAGAATAAATATTTTATTTTTGAGGAACTAAGATTTGTCAAATGTAGTAAGCAGGAAGTTGGGTTAGAAGGCAACCACAGAGAAGCATGTGGTTTGCTCTCACATTCTGTGACAACATGAGGCAGTCGCTATGGAGCAGACTTCTTCAGCTCTATGTAGACTTGAAAGAAGGATGATGCCAACTGTAAGGAGTTGGGAGGGGGTGAAAAGCACTTAAGGTTGCATTCATTTTCCAAAGTTTTGGGGGCAGATCAGCTTGGTAATTATTTTGTAAAACTTCAGCTAAGAGCAAAGGTGGAGAAGATAAACATGTAAACATATTTCTATAAACATTTTTCATGTGTTCATGATGGGCTTTATTTCTTAATTTCTCTAATGTTGGGTAGACAGATATTTGCCTAAGAACTTTAAGTCTTAACACACTTCTAATACAGCCAGTTTTCTTCTTTTTTTCCAGTTTTGTGTTCGCTATCTCCTAGATTCAGCCCTTATACTTCTTGATTGGATTGAACAGAACAAGTTAATTCTCTCTGGAATGTCTCTTTGTATCGTTAAACCTGAAACCTACAATTCCTTGTATATTTTTCTTTATGTTTTTTAGATTTATAGTATCATTTGTTATTCATGAAGTATGTATGGCTTGTTAGAAAAAATGCAAATGAAAAGAAGGAAATAAGGGCTGGCGAGGTAGCTCAGTGGACTAAGGGCCTGCTTAGGCAAGCACAGGGACTTTGGTTCAATCCTTGGTACTGCGTGCCACGCCAGCCACGCCCCTGGGAACGCTGAGCCGGCTAAGTCTGGGCAGACGTGGTGGTGCATGCCTGTAATCCCAGCTCTGGAGAGGTTGAAAACAGGAGAATCTCTACGAGTCTGAGCTGCGTAGTGAGATTCTGTACCAAATACGTAAAAAGAAAAAAAAAAAGAAGAAAATAAAGTCTCTTTTCCCTTTTGAGAAATTGTTTAGCACTCCTTGATGTTCATATTCTTCCATGTCTCTTTTTGGAGTTTAACTACTATGTTTCTATTTTGTAGTCATTTATTTACTTGTAAACAGGATATCTCCTCATGTTAGAGACATGAGAAGATAAACATGTAAACATTTTTCTATAAACATTTTTCATGTATTCATGATGTTCATGTATATGATGATCATTACTTCTTAAATTCTCCATTAGGTAGACAGTTTTTTGGTACAGGGTCTCACTTGTAGTGATCCTTTTGCTCTTAGTCTCCCCAGCGCTGGGATTACAGGCGTGTGCCACCATGGCTGCTCTTGGTGGCTGGCTCAGTGTGCCTGGGAGTGCGGCGGCACACATGTGGCTCTGGGGATCTAACCCGGTCCCTGTGCTTGGCTCTACAGGCAGTCCACTGAGCTATCTCGCTGGCCCTTTCGGTAGACATTTAATGTTTCACTTTTGTCAACAGTTCAATCTATGTTACTGTTTTTGGAGAGCTGTAATTTTCTAATTTTAGACTTAGAAATGTTGGATAAAGTACCCGCACATTTTTTGTACTTCTGTTATTTATTAGTCTTTAGAAGCTATCCCATTTTACATTCTTAGAGGACTGCTTGTTTTATCCTTACCTAGGAATTATTGATCTGTTGAGATGAGAAATTGGTCTTCAAATATCGAACAGAATGAATTAATAGAGATGTGTGAAAGCCATTCCGTTGATTTGTCTTACATCTCTCCCCAGCCCTCATGTAGTCAAGTATTATGGCAGTTATTTTAAGAACACAGACTTGTGGATTGTTATGGAGTACTGTGGGGCCGGTTCTGTATCTGATATCATTCGATTACGAAATAAGACGGTAAGTTTACTTTCTAAAATAATGCTGCTGAGCCCTTGGTCTTATGCTCTTTTCTTTTCTCTGGCCTTTTATTCATGTATTTCTTCTAATGTCATCTGGAAAGATGAGAGTGAGATTTTTTCCTTTCTCATGGTTCTTTCTCCCACTGTACTCTTTTTTTCTCCTGAATGTGACAGTCCTGACACTGACTCCATTTGGTGATTTTTATCATGCTTTGTCTGTTTCTTCCTGGGGAAAACAACTGTCAAATCTTGGTTACGGTATGAATTTTAAATGTTTAATTTTGGATTTGACTTTCTCCTCTCATCTACCATGTTCAGATTAATTTTCTCTTCTTTATTCCCTATTAATCAGAATAGCCCCATTGTGAAAGATTATTTGCTGTTACTGTGATTGCTGGGTTCTGGTTCCACTTCAGTTGTGTAACCTGTTTATCCATTCTGTGAATATTTCTGGAACACTGCTTTAGCCTTTATGGGCCCTGTAGCAAATAAGATAGGCAATACCCTGCTCTCACAGTGTAGCACACTTAAAAAAATTGGTACAATTTAGGTATACCCAGTGATCACATTTATCATAGGGGATTTGTGCCTGTACATGATACATCTTGCTTCTTTCTTTCCCTTTTTCTCTACTCCAACTCCTCTCCCCTTCTTATTCACAAAAGCTTTGCCTTCATTTTTTTCCTATTCTTTTCTTTATTTCTTTATTATTTATTTGTGTGTGTGTGTGTGTGTGTGTGTGTGTGTGTGGGGCCAGCTCAGCCCACCAGGGGGCGGGGCGGGCTGGCATGTGGTGCTGGGGGATTGAACCACGCTCCGTCCCTGTGCTTTGCTAAGCTTGTTTTAAGTAGGTGCTTTAGACCACTGAGCCATCTCACCAGCCCTCCTATTCTTTTCTTGTGTCTTTCTTCCTTTCCCCTCACCTCCTCTTGTCCTTCCCATTTGAATATTTTCTTCCCATTTTCCAATATTTTATTACACATTTTGGTCCTTATTTATACTTTTGGTTTCTCACACCAGAGAAACAACACTGTATTTAATGTGTGTCTGATTTCTTTCACTTGAGAGGATGGTTTCAAGGTGTGTCCATTTAGCTAGAAATGTCTCAAGCAGTAGCGTACTAGCTAGCAGGGCAACAGAAAAAAATTAATGGTAAATAGAAAAGAAATAGCAGATAGTGTTAAACACTATGAAGAAAGTAAATGGGGATGAAGGCTCAGCAAAGTAATAAAAGAGTGCTTGGTAGCCTACAGTAGAGCGTTGGATAGTTGAAGGAGGTCATTCCAAAGAGTTTCATTTAAAGGAAGCCTTGAATGACAAGAACGAGCTAAGTCTTGAGGAAACATTCTAGGTAGGAATAACCAATGAAAAGACCCTACACCACAGCTGGAAGAAATTTGGCATTTGAACAAAGGTTGCTGTGACTAGATGGGAAGGAGTGAAGTGGAACTACAGGAGATGAGGTTAGGCAGGTCAGTAGGGCTTGATTGTATTGGATACTGAAGGTTATGATAATGAGTTTGAATTTTATCCCAAGTACAGTAAGAAACTGTTACTGGGTTCTAAGCAAATGTATGGGCCATCTTATCTTATTATTTTTTAAAAAGATTGTAACTATATAGGTTTTAAGTGAGTAAAAGCAGAAGTTTTAACTTATTTTCTTAAAAAAGTACTAATAAACACCCATTTAAAAAAAAAAAAAAACTTCTATACAGGATATCTAAGATATCTTGCAACTTGTTTTTTAACCACCCATATTAAGTATTTACAAAGTTGTAAAACTTTGTGTTATAAATTACAATGTATTATATACATTATAAGGTGAGGGCTTGTCTTAGTTTTTCTCATTGTTGAGACAAAATACCCAGTATCCAAAGTTAAAGGAAGAAAGGTTTATTTAGCTCACAGTTTGTAGAGATTTCAGTTCATAATTAGCTGGTTCCAAGGCAAGGTGCTGTGACAGAGAAGGATTACAGAGGAGAAACAGTTTGTGGTGAGCAGAAGATAGCAAAAACATGTAAGGGATGACCACAGCTCTTTCTGTCCCTTATATCTTATCCAGGTTATCCAGGACAGGTGACACACCCTTAATCCTAGTACCTTTAACCCTGGCATTTCAGCATGAGTCCATGAATCAATCCCAGCATCACACACTCTGGATCCAGCCACTTCTTTTTTTTGTAGAACTGGGGATTGAACTCAGGGCGTTGCGCTTGCCAGGGAAGCGCTTACTCTACTGAGCCATCTCCCTGGCCCCCAGATCCAGCCACCTCTGTAAAAGACCCACCTAGAATTTCATGAGGCTTTGGGGTGATACCTAGGTGCAAGCCATAAAAGGGCTGCTTTTTTTTCTTTGGTACTGTGACGTTGCACTTGCCAGGCAGGTACTTGTGCCACTGAGCTATATCTCAGGCCCAACAGGGGTGCTTTGAAATTCATTCATGTGCTGGGGCCAGGGGTTCGATGCTCAGCCCTGCTGTGCCGGCCCCACCCCACCGGGTGCGCTGAGATGGCAGTTGAGACTGTGCGTGGTGGTGTGTGCTTGTAATTCCAGCTCTTGGGAGACTATAAACAGGTGGATCACTATGAGTCGGATCTAGTAGTGAGAACCTGAACACCCACCCTGTAGACCCTTCCCTAAAATACAAAAAATAAAAAAGAAAAGAAATTCAGTCATAAATTTTTGTTTATACCACCATCTTCTTAATTTAAGTTACTCAGAGCTAGTGTGTTTTCTTAATCAAATAGCAAGTTCTTGAGCAAGGAAAAATATCCTGGCTGGGGAGATAGCACAGCGGTCTAAGCATCTGCCTGGCAAATGGAAGGACCCGGGTTCAACCCTTGGTACCAAGCATTGCTAGCCCCGAAATTGGATGTAGTGGCACACACCTGGAATCCCAGTGCTGGGGAGGCTGAGACAGGAGGATCACTACAACTCTGAACTGCATAGCTTCAGTTTTGAGATATAAAGTATAAGTACTTTTGAGACAAGTACTTATACCTTATTTAGACCCTGTATCAAATAAGTAAATAAAAATAATATCCTAATATAAGATATATTTAAAGAGTTAAGAATGTATTAACTTAAAATTTGGATTCCAGGACTTCTTAAATGAAATATTGTTTTGTTTCAGGTGTTTTAAAACAATCCATAATTAATTTTGATGTTGATTTTGTTATTTACTGATAACTTACAATTTTTATATAACTATTAAGTGAGGATTTTTAATTATTATCCATTCTTTTGCCAAATGTCATAGGTCTGCTTTGTTCATCCATTAGCTGTGTATGGCTAAGTTATTAAGTGGTTAAGTTATTAGACAGGTCAGTAGGGCTTGATTATATTGGATATTGAAGGTTACGATAATGAGTTTAAATTTTATCCCAGTTTGTACAGGACTTGAAAAATGACTGCTCTTAATTGACATGTGCTATAAGTATGAAAATGCACCAGAGATAAAAAGTTGTTACTAATAAAAAGTAAACATCTTTAATTTTTTATATTGGTCACATGGTAGAGTAATATTTTGGATAAATACAATTAGGTAAAATAGTATGAAAATTAATTTTCGTTTTGAAAAAAGTAGCTACTGGAAACTTAATTATATTTGTTTTTGTGGCACTGGGGATTGAACTCAAGACCTTGTGCTTGCCAGGCAGGTACTTATACCACTGAGCCAACTCCCTGGCCCTGGAAACTTAATTATATTTGTTGCTTGTATTGTATTTCAGTTGGACAGCACCTTTGTAGTTGAATAGCTCTCAGCTGGTTGAAACAGTCAGATGAGTCATGAGCTTTGTTTCTTTTTTGGTACCAGGAATCGATCTCAGGACCTTGCGCTTACCAGGCAGGTGCTCATGCCGCTGAGCTATATCCCCAACCCAAGCTTTGTTTCCTTTGACCACAGAAGATATCTAAACTCTAGCATATTACTTTGACAATAGTGTTGGCCTGGACATTATCATTTAATATCTCTGTGACCTTTGGCATAAATGGCATAGGTTACTTTTCTCTGCTTCAGCTTCAGTATGAATGTTGTTTTAGTTTTTTGAGATAGGGCTTCACTATGTAGTTCAGACTGGTCTTGAGCTCACTATGTAGCCCAGGCTGGCCTCAAACTCACAGCAATCCTCTTGTCACAGCTTCCCAAGTGTTGGGATTGTAGGTGTGTGCCATTGTGCCCAGCTTCTCAGTGTCATAATTTATAAAATGGTGATGATAATAATAGTATTTATATCTTATTTAGTAGTCTTGTAAGATTACAAAAATAGGGTCCCGGGGAGATAGCTCAGTAGAATAAGCGCTTGCCTGGCAAGCTCAAGGGCCTGAGCTCAGTCCCCAGTTTTGCCAAAAAAAAAAAAAAAAAAAGATTACAAAAATAATATCTCCTTCAGATTAAATACTTAGAAATAGTTATCTATTTTTAACATTATTAGCATAGTTCCTGGCTTGTACTAGGTACTTAGCAAATTTTTGTTGATTATGTGGTAGATATTAAACCATTATTAATGATAGCATGTATTAAACCATTAAGCCTTCTGTAACTTTTTTTTGTTTTTTGAGGGTTTTTTACTATCCTTTTGAGACAAGGTTTTACTATATAATAGTTCAGGCTGGCCTTGAACTCAACAGTGATCCTCCTTCCTCAGCCTCTCAAGTGCTAAGATTACAGGTGTGGACTACCACCTCAGGCAAGCCTTCTGTAATTTGATCTCTTGTTGCTGTTGTTGCTGGGGATTAAGCCTAGGGCCTTGGTGTGCTAGGCAAGCATATCACGTGTTTTTTTGTGTGCTCTTAAAGATGGTATTCCTAAAGATGATATTTGTATATGGAGAAATTGAGGTTAAGAGTTAAATAATTTGCTTAAGTCAGGCAGCTACAAAGTAGAGTCAGTGGAAAAGGGTAGGCTTTTCTAATCCTAAATCCTCTGCTTTTCCTGCCATGTACACTTCCTTCTAAACGTGCGTTGTAATCTTATGTATATCCAAAATGTACTAATAAAATCTGATTTTTTTAAAAAAGAGAAATGTGAAAAAATGTGAATTGTTTGTCTCATATGGTTCCCATATGAGAATTTAATAGACTCTAACTAGGACTTGAATTAAAACTGCACAAAATTAACATTGGTCTGCTCAGATAATCTGCACTACTCTCTGGTGTATTCAGTTATATTTAGCTATTATCATTCAGTATTTAGTTTTCCACTATCTGTCATTTGCAGGATCTCTTTCTTGGTGTTAGGAATACAAGACTAGGAGAGGGGATGCCAAATAGCTCAGTGGATTAAAGCACCTGCAGGCAGGCGCCAGGGGCCAGGGGTTTGATCCCTGGGCCTGCCTTGCCAGCCTTGTCCCAGGGCTACGCTGAGATGGCAATTGAGACTGGGCATGGTGGTGCGTGCCTGGAATCCCAGCTCTTGGGAGGCTGTAAACAGGCGGATCACTAGAGTCAGATCTAGTAGTGAGACCCTGAACGCCCTTGTAGACCCTTCCCTAAAATACAAAAAATAAAAAAATAAAAATAAAAAATAAATATAAGAGCAGGGGAAGGAAAGAGGATGAGAAAAGGAATTGAGGTGTGTCCTGTATGTATGCCAACCACTACAAGGAATGCAAGCGTGCTACCAGCATGTACAGTGATCTGAAAAAAGGGGAACACTGAAGTAAACAAAGGAGCCTGGGGTATAATTGAATGTCAGTTAGAAGGTCCTGAGTTCAGTCCCTAGTACCACAAAAATAAAATAAATAAATAAATGGAAGTAAACAAAAGAAAAGCATTTTTTTAAAAACTTTTTTTGTTTATTTATTTTTACATTTATTTATTGTGTGTGTGTGTGTGTGTGTGTGGCCAGCTCAGCCCACCAGGGGGCGGGGCTGGCTGGTGTGTGGTGCTGGGGGATCGAACCACGGTCCCTGTGCTTTGCCAAGCTTGTTCCAAGTAGGTGCTTTAGACCACTGAGCCATCTCTCCAGCCCCAAGAAAAGCATTTTTAATGGTGTTTATTTAAAACAACTTCAAAATAAGATAATAGGATAGCAATGGTTAATATATTGTGAATTCGGCCAGGGAGATCCTGAGCTCAGTCTCTGGTACCGCAAAAAAAAAAAAATGAAAAAGAAAAACATTGTGGATTGTTACTTGCCATTAAATTGTCTAAACAATGTTAGCACAAACCTTTCTTTTCAATGAGCTAAGAGAAATTAGTAGTGAAACTATCTTAACTATAGTGTATGTGTGTAATTTTGTTTTTTGGGTTTTTTTTTTTTTT